TTGCGCGCAAGGAGGTATCGCTGCTTCTTGGAAGAAAATACTGAGGGCAGTCTGGAAATTAAAAAAACTGGGATTAGCTAATTGTAAGCCAAATGGAACAATTTGTATCTTGTCACTTGATCTATTTTAAATATTTTACCACACACTGAGAAAAAAAAAAAATCAATACTTGAACCATAAAATTACTACTATGACATTCTATCAACAGATGAATAGTAATTAACGACCGTGTTCCTTTCATAAGATCGTGTTACAAGGTGAAACACGATTCAATAGTATATCGTTACCATTGAAAATATGCTGAAATCTATGGAAATTCATCGGAATTTCAATGGATCGGTAGATCAATGGTTACACGTGCGAAATTTGTTTGCCTGACGGAAACTGTTATGGTTATTTCACACCAAGTATAACTTATTATTTAAAAGTTAACGCGAGGGAAACATGTTAGGCGCCTCGCCCTATATAAATATGGAAATATTGATAAAAATAGTACGACGAAGTCGTTGATGGGCATCTGCTTGAATAACTTCATCATCCACGAAGCACCCGCTCTTATTTCTCGTTCCACAAAGCTTTAGCATTCTTTTCACAGTTTATAATTTTTAAATGTGTACGGTTAAAGGGAAGTTTTATTATAATCTTTTGATAGAAGAATATCGAGGCAAATAATAGAAGGTATTCAACTCTTTACCGGAAGTAGAAACAATTTCATAAATAAAATATAAAATTGTAATCCATATCCACCAATCAAAAGAAGTCCCATTGAAAATACCGCGATCCGATTGGTCGCGCCCCACTCCAGCTCACGCGTACTTTACGTCGCGACGTGTGATTGGTCGAAGCGGTCACGTGTGCCAATTAGGCGCGTATAAAAGTAAAGGGGTCAGTCGATGTGTGCGTAGTACCCCCGCTTGCTTCTGTGGAGTCGCACTAGACTTCTTATGAGCGGAGGACAGTAAATACTTTAATAGCAGGCTGTACGTGAAACAATGTTACTTTGAACGTTGCTCGCGTGTCAGACAGTAGCTAAAGATATTAGCACACGTAGAAACTTTAGTGCCTTTCTTAGCACGATGTTGAAATATTTAACTGCAGCAGACAGGCATAAGCATTGGCTCGATACTTTGTTGCTACAATATGAACCGCAGTTCAACTGCAATGCACTAGATTCTTGTCTTACCTATCCGCCATGATACCCAATTAACGAGGGGCCAATTCTACGCTAAATCGATCAGGGATTTTGTTCCAAACGTAATACGAGGTGTAGTACACGTGAAATTAGGAATAGGGTTTAAGTCATTGTTTAACAATGAATGTACGTATAGTTCAATTAGTATAACAAGCATAGCGATAAGAATCTTGCTGATTGTCTTAATACAAGGCAATCGAGCCCGATGTGCTCGTGGAAAGCTTCCACACACAACACAAACGTGATCGTTTTATCGAATAATCAAATATTTCAACTGTTTGTTATCAACGATATTCGGTACCATTTTGTAGAAATTAAATGAAACCAATGTGGATAATATACTTGAAATGTGGAACTCGTACTGTTAGAAATGGGGAACAGTTTCGAAGAAAATTAAATGAGACACGATCGAAGTCTCTAGGAATACCTGATTGTTTTTCTCGGAAATGACATTAAAAAGCTTCGGTAAGAATGTCGCGTGTACGCGTGAATCGAGCACGAATTGTGTGCAAATTTTTCGTAGAAATTGGGTCGATGGTTAAAAGTCGTTGCGCATACGAAGTCATTGATCTGCTGCTGTAAACTTTCCCGCCGATCGCCTAAAGCATCAATTAAAAACGCGCGCCTTTATGTTTCCCGTCTCGCTATTTACAAACAAAACATACCGCGGGTCTAGATCAATTTAATACTAAAATAAGAAATAACCATTTGAAATAATATTACTTTCCCTTATTCGATACGAATTATTTCTTGATACAACGCGATACAATTGCATTTCAAAAATCAATCCCATTGGCCTGCGCGGACATCCCTGAAACGTCGCCGTTTCTGATTGGTCCAAAATTGCCGCCAGAAGTGCACAATTGTGGAGCGCTTTCGGCGCGTTATTTGAACGGTCTATCGAACCAACTATCGATGTAAAAATTTATCGCTGTTTTGTTTTATAACAAAAAACAATTGAAAGTAAAATTTACACGTACGTAACGATACCAGCCGTGAAACTGTTCAGCTCTCGCGGAACTTGGAAAGATACGTAAACGCGTCGACTAAATTATCGTGGTCCAGCAGAGTTCTTGCTGACCTTCGTCGAATAGAAACGAAGGTACTGGTCTGTTAACGATGAGAAACACTGACGGCGACAAAAACAGAACAGATGGACTTTGCCAGATGTCACCACAATGGGATCGTCGTAATCTTGCCGCTTCTCTAGCTTGGAAGTTGATCTCTGAACAGGATCTTCGATAACAATGGCATGTCTCAACGATAACGATAACAATGCTCCTGTTACTATTTTTGATTGGTAACTATGCAATTAGATCCCAACGTAATGGATTCCCATCGAATATTATCATATCATCCCATTAGGTCGCGTTACCTTTTTATTTTCAACAAAAGATTTTTACTTTCCAATTATTTCATTGTTAAACTGTATGAGAAAATGATTAAAGATGTAAGGGTTAACTAGTTTGCAATATCGAGAGATGTTATACGCTCATTGGATAATATCGTGAAAGCACCACCTGGTATTGTGTATTTATACCGGTGGAGGGGCACCAGACGGAGAGGGAGTGACTGGAAAGGTACCGGAATAACGTACACAGAGACTTGCCAGTAGTCATTAGAACCTATGTCGTAATCTGTTGTTAAACACATTAGCAGCCGAGCCAGAGAAAGTTTTCAGACCGAATTCAACGAACGGACTGAATTTTCATCTACCTTTGCTCCTCCGAGTTTAACCGTGATAACGCGGCTCTCCCCTTATTCCGAGTTTTATTTGAGGTTAGAATTTCAGCGATGGCTGGCCACGAGGGTCACCGGCAACCGGCTTCCCATTATAAACAATTACAAACTGTTGATCTTTTCTGACATCTTATAACAATGAAACAATTTTAACAATTACTGTACGATGGCAGGGTTTTTAATTTTTAAATGATGCAATTGAAATGGCATGCCATATCCTGATTTGTTTGAATTACAATGTATCGCATTGTTCCAAGAGACTGCCCTACCCGCCCGTCCCTGTTCTAACCTCACATTGCGATCGTGTACGGCCTGTAGTAAACGTAGCGCATAATAGCCAATTTCATCTCGCCATCTATCATTTAGCTGTTATAGATCAATTTAATGCTGGTCGCTGGATAAACATATATATGCTCCGAGTTAAAATTGTACCTTTTCTCATTCAAGCTATTGGAACGGTATTTCCGTGCTCTATTTCCTCTTTAAATACGCCATCGTCAGAAATATGTAAACCTTTCACAAAAGAAGAGCCGGATAATACTAATAAATATTAGCTGAATGGCGGAATACTGATACTACCCGTGTGTATTGTATATCAGAGAAATACGAACTTCATTGATTTCGCGTAACGGTGGAAGAAAAAATGAACTTACAGCATATTTCTAACATTTTCCGCTCACCGGTATGCGTGTTCGTGCATCAACAAAATCTGTTTACATCGCGTATGGTAATCGATAAATGACCTGTTCTATTTTATAACGTAATTTACAATTATAATCAACAACCGAACCTTCTTCTAATCGAATGCTGAAACACGGCTCCTGTTCTCCCTGCCGAATGACCCGTATAAGATCATTAGTAGCTCACGAGTTTGCCATATGTCGAACGAGCTAAATGTAATCTAATTTACATGTAACGAAGAATGATTTTAGTAGAACGATTCTCCGTTAATCGATAGACTCGGATACCTTCTACCGAAAAGATAATTACTGTCCACGATTGCCGCACGTGATGTCAATATTGTCCTTAACTGTTATTAGCCAAGTCTGTTTGCAGAGCGTGTTTGAAGAAATCGGTTATAATATAGACGCGTGACCCTATTTTAAGACGGGGTAACTTTACACAGGACGAATGCACGCTTTAACCGACGTTAGTGAATAAAAGCCAAGTCTAAAACGTAAGATTTGTAGCTAAATACAATTATAAATACGTATACGAAAATAAACGGCAACTCTCATAGCGTATATGTACTATGATAGAATCTTGATTGTATACAAACATTCCCACACGTAACAACAATAACGAACAAAACCTCTTAGCAACATCGTACGATTTTTATGAATGAAATACTTCATCCTGTGTGGTAGTAAATGTGTCGACTAGGTCATCAACAGTCACGAATCGTAATCGCTAATCGAATTTTAATGCAAACATTCGTGATAACCGATGGAGGAATACCGATCGAGCGGATCGAAACGAACTTTATTTTTCGTTTAATCCGTACGGATACGTTGTACTTTTCGTTTAAAACAACGATAGTATCGTTCAAGCGGTCGGCCATTTTCGCTTCCTTTGTTTACGTAGAAAGTATCGAGCCGCGACGGGCATAAGTATAGTGAAGTTCTCAATGTTTGTTGGAAAAAAGATGCGGAAAGTTATTCTCTTACCTCGAACTGCCAATGCGCCGCTTGTAGCAACTGTTTCGCTTGCTCCCTGGCACAACCTGCAGCCAACACGAACTGATTGATCATCACCTGTTCGCGAAGGGTGTCCATTTTTTTTTTCGTCACGTTTTAACGAGAAAGGCGAAAACACCGGAAGAAACTAGGCCGCACGAGACTCGGGTACCTCACGATCTTTCGTATCACTGGTCTCTAATAATGTTGTAAGTTTTCGTTTAGACGCGAGTGCGGCCAACGAGTGGCGACCAGACTCTTGTTTTGAAAACTAAACTCATCGCCGACTGTTGACGGCCACTGCGGGACGCGGAACGTAAGGGACGCAGATGCTGTGACGTCGCTACGAGCTATTCACGACCGAGCGTGCTGCCTCCCGTGTGTTTGGGAGCGTTCTTTTTCCCGTACATACTCCCTCTGTTCATTGTTTATTTTCAAACACAATAAACGAATAAAAAACGTTGCAACGCTGATCAGAATATTTTCGAACATCCAAGATCGTTTCTTTATTTTCATCATCATGTTTTATATCTCGATGAAACACGTGTAAGTATTTTATAATTTTTCGGGGATATGGTATTGAGAGAATGGATAATTTGAATGTTGATTTACCGAGAATACCTATTAGGTCATCTACCGCTATTTATGAAGTACATATCGTTTTTTTATTTTGATGCACCACATATTGTTCGAAGATTTTAATGCTTTTACGTGCATTTATTATAATTATGATTCTTTTGATATGGTGATATAACTTGTCAATGTTAATCGCAATATAAAATCAAAATATTTTTATATTTATTTAATGTATATAATTATATCAGATTATTACAGGTTTACATATTTTGCTGAGTCACCTCGTGACTCACTTTAGATATGTTTTTATTTACAGTTGTCATATTTCTTATCTTTGTTATAAGATTGTGAACAGTAATACATTGTATGGCTCTGATTATTTACTGTTTAGGACTAAGATTTAAATCACTTAATACAAATTTCTTTCATTAACAACATTATATTTAATATAATACATTAATACTTGTTTCATTATCACAGAATTACATCAATGGCCTTTTATATGCCCATAATTGGTCATGATCATACATAGTATGAATCTTGTCATACATATATTTAAAAAAATATAGAAGATCATCGTATTGACCTTTGTATCTTTGATCTAATTTAGATACTTCATTTGTATCAGGATCATTTATAGAATTTTCCTCATTAAGTGTTTCTTCTTCAGAATTGTTTAAATTAGCATATTCAGGTAATATACCAAATGCACATGCGTGCAACTCTACCAAAAACTGATGAATTGCTTCAATTGTAGCTAAATACCACCGTGGACTTTTCTTTTGATGACGCCAAAATTGTGATATTCTAGATTTTAAAATTACACATTGCAAATCTATAAACAAACATACAATGTTACTGATAAAACATACATATTATTAAAGTATCTTTATATTTACCTCTTAATCTTTGATCTTTGTAAATAGCTTTTGTTTGATGCCATGTGCTATCTATAAAAATAGCTCTTTTTATAGGAAATGTGTCTATTACTTGGTTCAAAATTATTTCATCATTGACTTTAACTTCCTTCATGAATAAAGACTCTACAGTTACTGCAGTTGAGCTAGGAAAAATTAAAATAGTCTAAGGGATGATATTATTAGGGCCAAATTTTAATTTCAACCAAATGATTGCAACTGTGTTGTTACTATACCTTCTCTTTGTCTGATATTTCTGGAAAATCAGGATATGTAAATATTCTCACATCTTCTGGTGCAAGTATAGTAGCATGAATCGCAGTGCTTTTTCCATCAATTTCACGTGCATGTTTAATGATATCAATTTTAATTGGTAGCTAAAAACATGAAAAAGTACTCATATCTGCATAGTTTAAAAAACGTATGAAATAAATTGTTGGTACCTTTATTCTTGGAAAATACTTTTCATTAATGACTGGTAAATAACAGGAATAGCAAAAGAATTTTCTTGATCTACAGCAACGTTTACATGTTTCTCTACCTTCTATTGTGTCTAAAATTCCAGCGTCAGTAATTTTTAAGTGACGAAAAGGTGCTCTATCGATTGATTCTTGTTTTTTCTCTAAATCAGATTGTTCTTTGGCGTTGCCTAACACATTATATTTAGCCATATTTTGAAAAATGTAAACGCGTAACACATGCAATACATTTATTGTTATTAATAATTCGTAACTGCTGAAATTGGATAAGAATCGTTGATAGTTCGAAGTATACAAGCAATTTCAAGCATTTCGTAAAACGATGTTAATTCCTGATTATTGACCACGTGGTCCATCTATGGTGTAAATTGTAAAACATTTCAGTTCTCTACATAGTATCAGTTGTTAACAGGTACTTTTTTGTAACAGATACCATCACTAGATGGCAGATGAGTATCAAAATCATGAAAAATTAATTTCTTTCATCAATTAATAATTCACATTATTCTTTGACAGTTTAATGTCAGAAATTGATACACTGAAAGTATTATTCTCCGACACTTTTATGCCAGACTTTCTATGTTTAAACAGTAGATTGATGAATGTAGAACAATGATTCTTGATTAAAAATTGATAGTTCTCCTTTACCTTGTATTTATCTTTTAATTAAAATCTCCACGTCTTTGCAAGCTGCCTTGTATTGACGTTTGATGAAGCGGCAAGCTTCAATTACACTTTCGTCTTTATTTTGTTCAGTAATTAGCTGATGAACAACGCGAGTTGTTAAAAAAGCAAGGAACGAAACGGGTGTTATTCTTATTCCCTTTTAATTTACAATTTCTTTGACCCGGACAATTAATCGTATTATTCTTGAATCTCTTGGTACGCTCGGTTTCATCGTTCGAATAAAATCGTATAATTATTCGATGTGACGTTAATGAAGCAGAAAAATTTCAAGGAAATCGTAATAATTTCTGAAGCATTTGTCCAAATTTTTTTCAACGTAGATATTAGAAATAATAAATTTGTAATAATTGGAATAGTTTATTATTAAAAATTAAAATATAAAATATTAAAAGCCGACAAAGAAATGTGTTCGACTAATTAAATAGAATTATTTGCATTATTAAAAATTTCACTTTGACCCAGTTAAATTCTATTGTGTTATCCTGCCTTCGGTACCAAAAACATATGCATACGGTATTAAGAGTTGAAGCATTTCCGCGTGCGCGAACAGTAAGGGATGTAATGATAAAATTTATTTCGTTTTATTTCGTTCCATTTGGAAGCCAGCACTCGGTTCTACGAAATGTTATTTCAACCGTTGAATAATCGTAATATTTGTCTAAAGATTGCGGTGATTCTCGGGGAAAATTCGGCATTAGTATGCTAATAACATCGGCAGGACAACGAGCCCACGCGTTAGATGCCTATTACGAGCTAAAACCAGCTAAAACCTGCGTATCGTAGGCAGATCCTTTCAGAATTACGCAAATTTTCGGGGTCGCCGACCCTGCAACTGCGATTTCTGTTTTCCACTGAATACATTAAATCGCCTATCATCGGCAATAGGGTGTACTTTTTTCGTTGGAATATTCAGCTAACGCGCGCGAAAGAACACCATGAACCATTTCGTTATTATCGGTTGAAAATTCCTCTGTCGAGGACTCCTTCATATTTTTAAAAAACAAAGTAATACAAGTTGAAATAATTTTTCATTTTCATGTATTTCAAAACGTGTAATGCAAAAAATCGTACGAGAAAACGAGGATGCGAATAGTCGTAGCTAAATTATGGAAATTAAATTCTTCATTTACGATCTTCGTCGCTAAATAATTATTGAAATAATTTTGAAATTAATTTACTATCGAAGTATGATCGAGTAACGGTCACGTACGCACATGTCGAATAGTTTATTTACATTCTTCCGTCAAAGTTTATCGCGAGAACCTCGTAACAAAAGGGATCAATCATTTACCCCCGTTCGATTTTGAGGCGAGGAAATATTTCTCCCTCGTCATTGACTACGACAGAGAGTGCTAAGTATTTCCATTGATTTTTATCAACAGTCAGTGTTATTAATTTATTCTTTCGTTTCAGTCAAATATCATCCACGTATGTGCACGCCCTTCGCAGCGAAAGGGTTAATACCAAGGATGAAATCAACGAAGGTACAGGATCAGTTAATAACCGTCGAATATCGAACAGCTGTAATCTCTGGATAGTTCAACAGACGAATTCGTTTGTTGATTACGTTTGATCAACTCGGTCGAGATTAAGAATGGGATGGCAGCTATAAGTGGTAAGATCGTTATTTCTTATTTACAAGGTACTTCAACGCCGGAGAACAAGCTGTCGATTAATTTAGTTTCTCGGCAAACGAACGCCATGGATGAACTAATCATTATTATTCGTTTATACATGGCTGTATGTAGGTTGTAGAGAAAGAAAGTAGAAAAAGGTATTAACTTCTCAAAGAAGATAGTTCTGTACATGATTGAGTATCATGAACGGCGGACCACGGAGAGAGTCCGAATTTTAATTTCAACGTATGCGTTTTAAGTAACTCGGGCTCTGCTGTTCGAAGGTTGATCAATTAAAAAAAATTTTAGACAGTATTTTAACCGTATCCTTTTTCCTTTATGGGTGCTTATTAATACTGATTCTGATAAAAACGATAGAGCATGTCTCACCCCCTTGCTCGTTTATAAGATCAACCCGAAAGTAAACAGTAAAGTTACACTAAAATTAATGAATGAAATAGTTTAATCATTGAAAAGTGCGTGCACGGACGGCACAGTTGCTTAGATAGGGGTGCTGATAAACCAGGAACGTTTCCTTACACCGTATCGTCCAATAACGTTCGAAGCAAGACTGTATTCCAGCCACTGTAACGTCCGAGTGAAATCGTTATTTTCCATTTTCTTAATTGCTAAGACACCATTAAAGCGTTAACCTTTAACGGGACGTATGGCTCCATCCTGTACAGGATCGAGATTTGTTTTACGGTTTCACGCGGGAATTCCTCTCGTTTTGCCAGGAATTCACGAGAGGAATTTTTTTATTTCACGATACAGTGTCTATCAAAATTCTCGGAACGGTCAATTATATCGTCAAGTATCGAAGAATAGTCGAGAGCCGAATGAAAATCCCTATTATTTTATTCCATATTCGTCTAGTTGAGATCAATGAACCAGTTCCTGAAACTGATTGATCGTTGGACGGTGCTATAGTGAATACAACGGCAACAAGCGATCCCGTCGGCCCAATGTGATAGTTACTCCACTGTGAGAATTTAGTCGTCAGCCCAAACTCTAGACTTCCGTACGTTTTAATTATTTTACTGTAGTCCCGGTATTTGTCGAACACTCTGGTGTTCAATAAATCCATAAACATTGGCGCGATGACAAAATGCCATTTTGATGAAGAGGTTTAATTACTTTAGCATGGAATTTCTTGATGGATCTGCGAGCAAAGGTCTGGACGATAGACCGGTGTTAAGTGGTCTTGGTTTATGGTCTTTATCGTCTTCTCTCATCGGATTACTACCGAATTACCCTGTCGATTCAATACTAAATGCTTATTTCCCTGAATTGATCTGTTCGTTCGCTTTCAATTTTCTATACAATTAGCACAATTAATTGCGTAATTCGAAGTATCCTCCTAGATGCACCTAAGATTTTCATCCATAGCGGATCAGGTCCCCTGTTTTATTTACAATTTTACAATAATAAATACGTTGTTTTGGGAATATCTTGAATTTATAACTCGATCATGACGAAACATAGATAATACAAAAATATGATTTATTTCTTCACGCGATTAAGAGTTTTATTTAACTTAAGTTGAATGAGTTGTTAATCCGCCAATTTATCGTTTGATTGGATTTAGAACGTAACGATGCATTTATGGAAAGATTAATTACATCATATTAATATATTCATATTAATAATACTTTGCTTTTATTCGTTACACGCGGAGAGGAAGTATACTGTAATACCAGAAATATATTTTTTTTTAACATTAAAATAGGCCATGTTTACTTTGAATACTAGCTACAAATATACAATGATATTAAAAGTAATCGAATGAAAGCATTAAAAACAAATAAAAAGAATAGGGACGGTGAAAGAATGAAGGCAGAAGCTTTAAATGTAATTAACATTTGAAATTCAAAGATAATGAGAAAGCGTTGATAAAGAAAAACATTTAAGCAATTTAAACGAAGCATTCAGGACGAATGAATTTTCATTGTTTGGACCCGTCTAATGAAACAGATTTATATTTAAATTATGTAAAATTTTATCCACTTCAATTATGTTCACTGGCATGAATTCTCGCTTAATGGTGTATAATTACTCTTATCTTCGGTCAATTTTGTTTCGTTAGAATATACCATACCAAACACAGTCCCTATTGTTGACATAAGGTACGTTGTATCGATGACCCGTGTAATTCTCAAATTATTTATTCAATGAATTATAAACGTGTCCTGTACAGACGGTGGTTCAAACAAACGAACATCGTGGATTTTTCATTCAACCCCCGAACGGTGGAGTTGTGTCAGTATTGCACCGATTACAAAATGATGAAATATAAATAAAAATATTTGCCGTATTTTTGCTATAATCGAGAACGGAGTGTCCATTCACGGGTTTCCTTTTTTGCAATCACATTCGGACGAAGACGAAGATCCCTTCATTTTAAACCGATTGATTTCGATACAAAAAAGGGCCGAGAAACGTATTGAACGTTCGAACGAGAAATCTCATAGCTGAAATTGATGTTCCAGTACAGCTACATACTTGAAATTATAGTTTCTTTCTCCTTCTTATTTCAATGAAACGTACAATTAACTTCCTCCTGTGTTATTTATCTCGTTAATTGTAATATTAAAGAATACCAATAATACTTTGTTTCATGAAATATTGAAAAAGAAAATTTCTATGAAACTGAGGATAAATAAAAGTGCAAAGTTATAAATTTTTTCAATACCTTCGATAGAATGGAAAATTGAAAGGATTCGATACGTTGCTTCGTTTATATTTAATATCGTTCCCGATTAATAGGGGTGGAATTTTCATGAAAATATCGACTATTGTTTCTGCACTTGTGTTTACACGAACCGAATTTGATATATTTAAACAAAACCCTTCCAGTTTCCATCGTTACCCATTCGAATATTATAATAATTAGAAACAGAAACAGTTATCGAATATAATTAATACATCATCGATTATGGTATTTGATAATAGGTAGTAGTTCTAATGTTGATTAACTTCATTACCGAAAGTTTGATGCTAACGCAGATGCTGCATTTTCATAATAAACGCAACTGGTTAACGGGTGCGGTGCGCAAATAGTTAAATTATGAATTCATCATGCGTAATGCGATTCAGAGAGCATGTTAACGTTGAAATAATTACAAAGTATGGCTCTAATTAGAAATGAGAGAAAAAAAAAAAAAAAATTGTAAAATAGATTACAAGGTTTAGGATTAAAATAAAAGGAAAGATAAGCAAAGATTTTAACATAATTAGGACACTTTGAACCGTTTATTTTTGTCTATTATCCGCGGTGGTGGTACGATGAAAGGAAACAATAGTTAGGGAATTATGGGGAGAAATCGTTTTCTGGGGTCAAGAGCTGTTCTGTGGGAAGTCGTGTCGAGCGTAGTCGAGTCGAGTCGGCTGGCTATAAAAGCCCTCTCGCACCGAGCCGTCGACGTCACACGTCGTTAATACTCTGCACGGTGAGGAACTCCGACGTGCCACCTGTTATCCCTGGACGAAACAGCTCTGTTATCCTCGGCATCGATAGGAAAATCGTAATTAACTAAAAAATTACCAACGAAATACTTCTCTACCATTTGGAAGCGGTTCGGGCTGAAAAAGGACCGGAAGTTGCTTCGTCAGTATCACGCTTCGATAAGCGGCAAAAGGTTCTTCGTCGACCGCATTCTCATTTAAACGCAACAAATTGCATTTTTCGAGTTACCTCGCGACTCTATCGGAAGGGAAGCTTTTCTTAGTGACGAAGAAGCAATTCGACATCGTTATCGTTTCAAAGTAAGTGGCTGCATAATTTCTTCTTCACTTCCTGTTTGTCAGTAATATTTTTACCAAAAAGCAGTACTTTCTCTAGTTTTCTTTTATATAATATTTTAATATTATAATTTTTCTATATTGTGTAGTTATTGTGCGCGTTAGACGAAGAAGAAAGTTAGTGTTTTTTATTGTTTCTTTTTTTTTTTAAGTTAGTGCATATCGTATGTCGAGTAGTGCAGTGCTAAAAATTAGTATACTTCTTCGCCTCCATTTTGTTTGTTGAATTTGAAAGTAGAAAAGTGTTCGAATTTATAGTTGAAACGTTTTTATTGCATTAAAACGACAGATGAGACGGGAAGATGAAAGATAAGACAGATTAGATTGATTCGACAATTAATCAGATAGTAGAGTGATATTTCGAGCGCGCGAATAAGAGAAATGTCTATAAATAGTGTAACCTAAATCCTTTGGTAACGATAAGGACACTTCGAAGAATTGCAATCAATTATAGGATTTAAACCGTCAGTGTTAAATAAGCGAACAGGTTCAAAATATTGTTGTTGTCTTTATTTTTGTTTCTCTTCAACCCGTTCTCAGAATTCGAAATTATTTTTGATTCTCGAAAATTTACCGTTCTAACCGTGGGTCTGCGTACAATGATGACTCATACTTCAATTTACGTTTCGTCATAATTTACAATATACGAATACGATAAAGATAATAACAGAAAAATCATGCGTACAGAAATACATACGTTACATTGGAATGTTCCACGTTCTCTTTTTTACCTTAGAATTAAGATCAAGAATTAATAATCAGTTATATACTGGACGCGTTTGAGAAGGAATGCTGGAAGGCTGGTAATAATTAATTGAAATTTTAAGAAGGATATTAATTTTTAAAAAGTAAACAATTCTTGTAATATTAATTTTTCTTTTAGTAAATAGAAGAGTCATAGGAAAGTAACGTTTATCGTAAATGGTTTCGATTTATTCTTTATTTTTGCCATTGGATTTTGATCCAAATAGGACCGCGTATCGTATGATTCCCATGGGTATTGAGAATATTGGATTCCTGCACGTATTGCACTAGAAAACTATGTAAAGCTTTCATACGCCTGACTTGGAGCGTCGATTGACGTGCACTACGGATTTATGTTCAACGATTTTGATTCGTGGTCGTTCTTATTCAAACGTCATTTCGAGATCCCATGATCGATGGCTGAAGCCTGAAACAATCGTAGATACGACATTCC